TGATGACAACAGATGGACCTCACGCATTGCCGAATGGCACCCGATGGAAAGAAAATGACCATTCGAGCGACTTCCAATGAGGTAGCGGACGTACGTAGAAAAAATAGCGTTGTACAACGTCGCTGCTGTCCGACTAAAGAATAGCACAGCTTTTTTTATCTGGCCGATGCTGTCAGGTTCTTTTCGCTCATTGGATGCGAACACTGGTAACAGCAAATGGAATAGCACAACTTATAGGCAACTGTTGTCCATGCATTTTAGTAAAGATCTAAACTGAATACATTGGAAAGATGAACAATGATGGTGACAGCGACAATCACAAGTCATGGTACAATTCGTTGTATCTCTACTGCCCATAAAGTGATATAGAACGCGGTAAGCTGAGGCGGCACAGTACATCGCATAGTCATCCTGCAGAAGATTGGACCTTTACATTTGTGCCCTCCTGAGTTTTTGATCTATGATTAATGAAGGAGTAAGTTCTTACGGGAGATGACGACGCAGTTTGAGACAAAATTTGTAGGGCGGCATGCGCAGAACTACAACGCTAAATATTGAGCGACTAAATTTCATAAACTATGAAAGAAAAGTCTCTACTAGCAGGTCATTTGATCTCGTCTAAATACGTTTTGAGGTTTCTTACATCTGAAACGTGATTTCTTTGAAGAAACTTTTGATGAGGTTCCTGTTAGAAACGAATAGCTGCTTGGAACAAGATGACATAAATGTGTAGAACGTTTTAAAATTTTAGGCAAATTGTCAACTGATGAAATTTGATCTTTTCTTTAATGCGGTATAGAAATTTTTATATGCACTATCGTTTCTTCTTAAAAAGGACTGGAAGCTATAGGCGTGACCGATTTTTATCTGTCGTCGAACAACGTGACAGTAACGCGCTCTCGATCTTCGAACCTCAATTAAATGTCATAATTGTAAGGGCCCCAAAGTGCATGAGGCATAAAGCACACATGTTTCAACAAAAATACAGCACTGGTGAGAAATTGAAGAATATATTACTTCACATTAGTTACTGTACTTTAAAGACAGAACTGCGCTTACAATGACCCTCTTGGATCGTGTTTTACCTCCTTTTACTACTGCTTAAAATGATTTCGTTTTAGCTTTGTTATTTGCATTGCAGAATGATGAGAACAGCATGGAAGTATTTGGCGAACAAGATTTCTTCTACCTCGAGGCTCGTCAGCAGTGGCTGCTCAACCGCAACTTATTCACGAACAAGTTTTCTATCGTCGCTGTGGTACCGCTGAGATCACGCTGGAACGTCAATTCCGAAGTTATGATGCCGTCAGAAATAAGCGTTCTGACGTTTACGATGTATGATGGCATCAAAAGCCACTACCGTGTTGTTTTCAACAGTAGTAAGTTGAACTTAAGCTATTGGTTTAGCCTGTTGTGCTTCATGTTTTACAACTCAGGGTAAAAACTCGGAACTGAACCTTTCTTCGATGACTGCACCCATTCTAAAACAGGTCTCAGTAGGTTCTTGAAGAATGAAATGACCATATGTGACGAATGAAACAAGTTAGTGTTATTAACGTCGCCATCTTAATTTTTCAGACTACTAACAACCAAATTACGCAAGCCGTTGACGAGTTATCATGGTAAATTGGTGCGGTTGAAATATTGTACCCGTCCTTGAATATAAGCTGCTAATGGCTCAAACATGGAGAAGGCTGCTGTCAACCATTATCTTTTTCTTCTTGTATCCATCTGTTGGTCACTGCTATAAAGACTGTCTTTTGTTTCCTACCGTGTTCCCTTTAACAGGGGTCCGCTAATTGAGTCAACTGCCTCCACATTTTTAGATCTTTGGTTAAGTCTTCGGTGACTCCTCGACTTCATATCGTTTTTGACGACATCGCGCTACGTCTTTTTCTCCCCATTTTTTTCTGGCAAAATCAGTGTTTGGGCGACATTTCCAGTATACTTGGTGGATGTTTATCACTAGACCCAGCCAACTCGAGCCTGCTTCTGATAAGCTTTCCTGAAATTGGTGCTGCGTCTAGAGTATCTCTCATGTAGCTCTTTCTGACGTGGTCTTTTCTGCTGACACAACACATCTCTCTCAGCATTCGCATTTCTGCCGAGTTCTGCGGTGTGTTTCTTGTGTTTCTTCAGGGTAACCAACATTCTACTCCGTACATAACCACCATTCCTATTATCGTCCTGTATACCTTCCCCTTTAGTTTGTTGAGACGTTCTTTTCGCACAGTACTTCTCTCACTTCTCTGCACTTGAGTCAAACTTCATCTCGCTACCGGTTTCCGCATTATCGTGCAGCATGAAACCAAGATAGTTGAATTCTTGGGTTTGGATCAGCATGCTTCCTGCTACTTTCACTGGTATGATGGTTTTCAACTTATTCTCTTCATTTAAGTAGCCGTCCATATATTCTGACTTTCCCTTGCTGAGCCGAAGGCTCTTCCTATTAAGGGTTGTCGTTCATGTCTTCTGCTGTTACCTGCTTTCGCTGCACAGCACAATGTAATCTGCGGAGAGCATGCAGTATAGGACCGCTTCCTGCATATCTGTAATTATAGCGTCTGTCGCCATCGAGAATAGAAATGGACTCAGGGCAGATCCTTGAGGAATTCCTACCCCCACAGGGAGCCCTTCCGTTTCGCCGCCCGCATGTAGTTGGGCCTATCTCTGTTTAGCTCTGTTGAGCATTTCTTTTATAAGCCTGACATTTTTCTGACACTAGCTTCTTTCTCATGCTCCCCCATTTTGTTTTCTTCAGGATTCAGTCAAAAGCTTTCCCCAGTCTAGGAACACCATTTGAATGTCCAGCCTGCTTTCTTTTCTGTTTCGAGGAGTGGTGTTAGACCGAAGATGGCATCCGTGATTGACCGGCCTGGCATAAAACTAAATCGTTTTGCGGTGGTGTTGACCTGCTTTTTCAGTTTTTTCTCCAACACCCGCTCATATGGTCTCATGGTGTGGATAAGCAGTTTACTTTGCCGGTAGTTTTCACAGGCGAACATGTCCCCTTTCATTTTCTACATTGACATCAAAATTCTCTGCCTCCATGATTCTGGCATTTTCTCTTATTCCATAATTTTGTTGAATAGCGCCAAGAGCCAGTCCATGCCTTCTTGTCCCAGTGCTCTCCATGCTTATATGGGAACTCTCTCCGGCCGAGGCTTGCACTACTTCTTCCTGTGAGATCTTTTCAATTAGGCCCTGGTTTTGTGGGATCTCTTCCGCGATCTCTCTGGGATGTTCTTCGTTTAGTAGCGTTTGGAAGTGCCTTCGCCATCGGTTGCGAATATCTTTCTCATCGGTCAGCACCATTTTTGTCTTTGGTGCACTTCACTTTACGGACGTCTCTCGTTCTTCTTTCTCTGGCTTTTGCTATGCGATATATGCCTTTCTCCCTTCATTTGTTGCCAGTTTTTGTAGGTTTTCCACGCTATAGACTTGTTTTGGCCGATAACTTTCTTTGCTTCCCTCTTCGATCTATCATATTTTATTTTGTCTTTTGCGCTGTTTGATAACTTATATTTCTTAAACAGGTCTTTCTTCTGCCGTACGGCCGCCTGCACGTTTCTTTCTGAATGTGTTGTGCCCTTTATTTCTCTGACTAGACATCTGGCATTCCATATGTTTATGCTGGCCATCCGCTCCCATATTTTGTCCACTTTCCTATTCCAGTCTTCCTTCATCAGTTTTTCTCGTAATTTCCATTTCGAACGCTTCTTTCAGCGTCCCTTCGAGCTTCCGTGACTATATTTTCGGGGTTCTCGTCGTACCTACAGTCTGGAATAGTAACTGGTTCTGGCTTGTGACAGATTCCCCCGAAGCAGAGGTTTATCATCTGTTCGTTCTTGTAAGTTAGCTGATGGTTTTCTTTTTTCTGAAAATACTTGTCTGTCAGAACTAGATTATATGCAACTGCAGTATGCATGATCTCCTCTTTATTTAACATACCATTTCCATGTCTATCATTGATCCTGTCCTAACTCCTTCGATGTTTCTCGAGGTGCCCGTTAAGGTCACCGCGGATTACCATTTTATCGTTTTGCTGTGGCTTTCCCAGAATGTCGATTTTTCGGCTTCGTTCTGGCCAGTCTGAAAGCTGTAGACAGTGTATTTAAGATTCCACTTTCTAAAGTTAGTATAATGTCCATTATTCTATCGTTAATTCATTTGATGTCGAATATCCCGTCTTGGGTCCCTTCGTTCATAACCACTTTAACTACATTTTCATTTCTCTCATCAGCCGGGATTTGCTGCTACGCGTTACCTGTGGGAAACGCCCTGAGATTCTTCCTAGAGGTAAGTTGGCTCATCGTGTTTGGCTTTGAATTGGTTTGTACGGTTGGCTGCCTGCCTGCCGCCAGTCCGTCGTTCTCGACCGGGCTTGAACCGGCTATGGCTCGTTGGAGTTGAAAGCGTGCTTATTTGATGGCTACACGTACTTGCGATGTCACCTCGTTGTCATCGAACTTTGCGGTGTTTTCTGTAGTCAACCCTGCCAGAAGTTTACTCACGGCATCCTCGTGTCATTGTTGTCATGTTGTCTGCGACTGTTTATTCATCAGATTTTCCGCTTATTTTGCAGCCCCACCATCTGCAGTCTCTGGAGGCGCACGGCGATATCTGACCTTTCCTCGACACTTGGATCGAGTGCTTGATAGCACTGTAGAACCAGAAAATGTCGGTTTACTTTATTTCCATGACCACGAGGTAAATGAACGGAAATGGAATAGAAGTCAATCAATGAATGCTAAAAGAAAATTCTGAGAACAGTGTGTAGCTTTTAAGCAACATTTGATTAAGGCAGATCTGTTTCTTGAAAGGAATATGGTTTTTGCTGTTATGAAACACTTCTCTCAAAATGAAAGACCACATTTTATAAACGGTTATAAACACCTCAAATCTAAACTACTCAGCTGTTCAAGCTTTGATAGCCTTATCTGACTATGACAACTGGGAGAAGGTAAAAGTTATGCAACAAAGTCACTGATATTTTCAAATTCCTATAAATCAGCTACTGAGAACCACCCATTTCTCTGGCTCAGTTTCTTTGGCCAAGGACGTGCCAATACGTTTGTCTGCGAATCATGACGGAGGGCTTTGAGGCCGCTGTTCTGATCGATTTCGAGATGAACATGACGAAGCATTTGCATGACCCATGTATGCTCTCTGAATAAAGCACAACTATACTTGAGATTAGACATGAAACGTATTTCATTAAATATAACATAAAAGCGTTGGAGATAGCTTAAAAAGCCTGACCACTTGTAACTGTTGGAACGTCGATCTGTCTTACTCTTCCATGGTATGAACTCTATCGCTAGCACGAGTTGCTATCCATTTCTTTGTCATAGGACAACAACGCTTTACTTTTTGCTCAGGGCAGTATCCACAGTTTATAACGAGTAGAGCATAAAGCCTCCTAGTAAGTTTTTATGATTGCGCGAGCTACGTGTTGTTATTTCAGAGTCTATTGAGTTTAGCGCTGCTAAAGTCTAATTTCACTGTAAGTTGCCACTCTCCCTTGTTTGTAAATGTCCAGAGAGCCAGTTAAGCATACCACAGCTCCGTGGTATTTTTGGTACTTGCTCTGCATCTCGCTTCATTTTAAGCGTACTTATTTGTGTCTACATTAGAAGGGTGCAACAACGTATCCTGTTGAATGTATAGTGGTACATAATTATATCCACATCAGAAGGATAAAATGCGAGTCACCCGATCAGGAATTAAGAGCTCCACCAGTTGAGCTACCATGTTTAGGCTGGTGAAATGTACATGTGAAGGAGTATTGTTGCTTTGACATGAAGACTTCGTTGTGATTATATGAAAACTCGACAGTGAAACAGCATCAAAATTTGTATGGGGTGAGGAATTAACTTTATCTGGAAGTTGCCTGCTGTTTGAGCTAAAAATTGGCGGAACTACGATTGATATATTTGTTGCCTGTTTGCGCAGCACTGACTGTAAATGATAATGACAAGGTGACGAACGCAGAAGTGATGCGTGCTGACATTAGCTGTGTCAGGAAAGTGAAAGAGGACTTTACCCGAGGTCTGAGAAACAAGTTTACTTTTGCGGCATTATTCCTTTACTACAACTCAGAGGAAGTAGCCCAGAATAAAGTTAATCTCTGTAAGCAGTAGCAGACAACTGCGATATTGATAATTTGATTTATATGATTCCAGTCGAATAGAACGATGGTCGTTTTTTGAAGATTACTTAATACTTATATGTGCTCATATAGATAGGCTTGGTTATGATGCATCTACAGTTCAGTGACTGCAGGCAAAATGCGCATATGATAGTATGCCGCTGCTAATGAATGGACACATCAGCCAGTGGCAAAGACTTCGCAGACCAGTAGCGAAGAAATCAGACGATTTCGTCGTTGTGGCACGGTAACCGGTTGCGATCATGAAGGAGCAGAAAATATTGTTGTTAAATTTCGAAAGCGCTTTGGACGCTTTCCATCGAATAGAACGCTGTACTATTAGATAAAGGGATATCGTCATTAATTATCTGATTCGTTGTGCCTGAAGCCATGGATCAAAATAACAGTTAGTGTTTTACAACTAAGATTAGACTATGAAAGGATGCAACTTCTTTGTATACTGTAGTAGTTTGCAGAGACCTTTAACATCAGTTTCGAGTAAAGTTTCAACGTAGCTGAATTTTCTTAGTCTCTGCCTTCAACCTAATAATTGAAGGCAGTAGGATAATTAGGGTCAAGTCATTTAGAAATTGAAACGTGTTAAGTTGTATTTCTTGATTTTTCTCTCTTAATGCCATAACATTTTTAGAGTATGGTGAGGTCACAACACGAAGTTTCATATAATGTTGGATAAATCTGGATTCTTGTAAATTTTAATAACCAAATCATGAATTCAGATTATAAAAGTATTATTTCTGGTGATATGAGTATGCATTCTGTTCAGACCACAGCTTCATCCTACCGTGTGCATGTGCCTTGCTCTGTCCAACTCATTGTTGTGGTATTGAAGCCATGCAGTGCGGTTGCTCAAATACTGGAGCCATGACCTGCTGAAACGGTCCAATTCTATGTCTGGAAGCAGGGTCCGGTACGGAATTGACGTTTAATTATGACGTCTAAAGTGAAATGACTCCTTTCACCAGCCTGGTCTTTGCAACCAATGTCAAACATATGTATATATGCAGTTTAAATGCTTCCAGTTTGTGATGTGCCATTTTGATCGTCCGTCGTTCTAGGAATGCTTCGTAATCCCGCCACGACCAGTAAAATCTACAAATTGATTGTGAAGAAGTGCAGAGACGAGGATACCAATCGTTTGTACTGTTTATACGCGGATTTCGTTTCAGTGAAGAAGGCAGTCAAATTTTTGGCGGAGTCTAGTGGTTACTTTTTGTGTCTTGTTTTGCTGTGACTCCGAAAATCAATTTGCGCGTATCATTTTAGGTAGCGATTCGACGATATTCGTGAACTGTATTGAGGAACTTTACGTAATGCTTTGCGATCTTCATCAGAAAGACGTATCTGAAGATTCTTTAAACGTTTTGCGAAATATTCATCGTTTTCAATTTCCAAAAATCTGTGATGACCAACGTTGTTCAATGCACCAAGCACAAAACCTCAAATGCTCTTTCTCTACCGTTTACAAAATGTGGTAAGTTTTGAAACACATCACCGTCTGGTTTTCGTTTGACATGCTCAAGTTTATGCATGATTATATTATATAGACCTGTTAATTATATGAAGTAAATGTTATAATTCTTCCTTTGTGCTCTGTTGTATGAGACATAAATGGTCTCAAATGTGGCGAATTAACTTCAAATGACGTCGTTCATTATGACAAATGCCATATGTTTCTCAGATAAAAAATGTCTCATACTGCTGTGAAACAAGCTGATGTACATTCGTTATCATGGAGGAGTAACAATGATGTGAAGCTATTGTTTTAGGTGCTGAAGTATAGTTCTAGTTAAAACTTAAGATAGCAGTTTATCAAAAGTGTCAATTTCCTACCATGAATGGGGTAAACGTCACTGACAATCAGGATTAGGATTAAAAATAGTCATAGTACCCGTATCAGTTAATTTTTAAACAGTATTAACATAAAAAGCAGTGATGATTAGCATATCAAATTTTTCAAATTAAATATTTACTTTGTTAAGGTCATATTGGTCACGTGATTTGATCTGCCTCAAGATAAATCATGAAAAAATATTCGCATTTAATAAGACTTGCCGACTTTAGGATTCGTATATATGGATCAGACATGCAGAAATCGTTGCAGCATGGTAATTTGAATTCATTTCTCAAAGGAATTAACAGCAGACAGACTTGAAAAGTTCAGTATGAAATGCCCAAATTCTAAACCATACTTTCAATTAGCTATATGTATATATGAACAAAATATTCTTAAGCATTCTCTTTAATTGGCGTTATTTTGCTAGTTTTCTTAAAAATAAGAATTAATTTGTCAAGTTTTCTAATTTAATACCTCGAATTTTTACGATTAGAACAGTTTGTTCATAGACAATTTACATAAATAACAGATCCGTTACGTTACCAATGTTTGAATAGTGTGTCTGCATTCAGGCTTTTTTTTGACTGATTGCAACCAAAGAATG